AAAAAAAAAAAAAAAAAAAAAAAGGCAATGCAAACAGAATAAAAAATAGTAAACCTTACTCAGGTTAATTTCTGAGCATTTAATTTGCCTTTGTGCTATTAGGAACGGCACTGTTTTCCTAACTTCTCTCTCAGTGAATTCATTATTGGTGTGCAGGAGCATCGCCGATTTTTGTGTGTTGATGTGGTGTCCACAGCAGGATGTACTTTGGCTGGACACTATCCTAAATCTGTCCCTGTTACTTTTCTCTCATTGCTGGGACAATATACCCGACACCCAAAATCAGGGAAGGGAAGGTTTACTTAGCTCACAGTTAGTGGAGGCCTCAGCCCATAATCCACTGGCTCCAAGGCAGAGTGGCTCATGGCAGAGGGCAGCAATTTATGGAGGCAGAAAACAGCAAAGAGCAAAGGGAGGAGCAGCGGCTTCAGCACCTACCATGCCTCTCGCCCTTCTTTATAGCGCATCAAGGCTGTCTGCCCAGGTGGGTGCAGCACTCACACCTGTAATCCCAGTACTGGATCATAGATTAATCACAACCTCTAGAAGTCTCCCCCATGACATGAGACTTTGGGTAGCCTAGATACAAATGGTCACACTCCCCTTTATAAATTTTAATTTAGTTTATTGGGAGATCTTATTTGCCAGTTGAAAAATGTATCTCTAGTTTTCTAATAAAAACCACTAGGAATATATGTTAAGTTTGTTGTCAACATTATTAGGAGGTATTTGTAAAGCAAGAGCTGCTCTTGTATGATTACAATAATGGTTCTCTAATAAACAGCCTTTCAGAGTCGAAGAGTCTTGTTTCAGAGAAGTGACAAATTGGAAGTGTTTTATAGAGGATTTTAAGTTTATTTCCTGCTTTTGGAAAAAAATCATTTTCATAATTCCAATCCATAAAATTATCTCTTCTCAACCTCATCTTTTTATGACTGTTAAAAAATACCATCTTCCATCAGATACTCAATACTATTTATAGAGTTCCCTACCTCCAGGAACCTGCACTCAGATCTGTGGAAGTGAGACGAATCTGTATATGTATTGCCGAATTTATGATGAGCTATTTTTCCTGAAAACTCAGCAGGAAAGAGGAACAAAAAGTAGAAAACAGACAGGATAGAGAATCCTGGTTTCCAAACTCTGTGTTTCATTTGCCTTGTAAATTTACAGCCTTCTGTGGGTGCAGTCTTAAGTACAACTAATAGTAGGAGACGTGCGCCTGAGAATTATTATTGGAAAACCTGGAATCTAAGAAAGCTGGAGACCTTTTGTGCAGCGTGTGTGCTTCTATGGAAAGTGAAATCCATAATGATTTCTACAGAAAAATCTGATATCTCAAGATTTGGTTCTTCTTTTCTCTTTTCTCTCTCTCTCTCTCTCTCTCTCTCTCTCTCTCTCTCTCTCTGTCTCTGTCTCTGTCTCTGTCTCTGTCTCTTTCTCTCGTTCTTGCTTTTCTTCTTAGGCAGGTTCTTGCTATGCAGTTCAGGCTGGCCTTGAACTCACTTTGGAGCCCAGGCTGGTTTTGAACTCACAAGGCTCCTCCTGACTCAGTCTCCTGAATGCTGGGATTACAGGTGTGTGTCACCACGCCCAGCAAAATCCAGTTCTTAAGGGGAAGCACAATGCTGGCGCTGGAGGCTCAGCAGTTTGCCCTGCTCTTCAGTTCTGTTTCCTTCCACTTGCTGAGAGAGTGAAGGAGCCCATCCCCTCACATCATTCTCAGTGTCTCTCTGCTCCCAATTCTTGGAAATTTTCCCTTCAAGTGTGTTCCCTTAGAGGGATTATTTTGCTTTCTCTCTTTTCCTTCCTCTTCCCTTGGGTCTCTTCTCTCTCCCCTTCCACAAGTATTTACTGAGTGCCCTCGGAGAGCTCAGCATTGTCTGGGAAACAGCAGTGTGACCAGTGCACAGTCTTCAGAACCAGGTGAGTGGGCAGGTGGACGAGCCCCTCTACCTAGCGCAGGAAGCACTGGCTGGAACAGAGATGCTTAGGAGCCCTGACAACTGCACCCTGTCGCTTTAACTCTTTGTCCCAAAATTTGGTATAGAAGCTTGAACATAGACTACAGCAAATTTTAAAATGTGAATGCTAAAACTTCCCAAATTCTGTGGTTAGATTTGCTTAGCAACCCACTACATAACTGCTTTCACTATCTGCTTTTAAAAGAAACATATTCTCCTCATGGATGCAACAACAGTAATCCACACAGTGACCCCATTAAAATTGGTTTGTTTTTTTTATAATGCCTTTACAGCTACATGAGGGGCCTAACCACCCTCTGACACTGACCCCACCCCAGTGATCTGATTTCCTTCGATTGGCTGAAACCCAGTCCTTCCTTTAAGCTTTAAATTCACTCATTCCCCCTGCATGGATCACGTGTCACTTATTTCCAGGGTAGCACAAGTGTAGGCTCTGGAATCAGATGTTTGGATTGGAAGTCCGACTCTGTTACTTAGCTACAGATTGACTTCCAGCACACTGAATTTGTTTTATAAACTTTATTTATCCTTTAATAAAAATTAGAGATTTAGAGATTAGAATTAGAGATCCCAATTCTATTTGTGTAAAGACTGACATTTTTATTGCAGAGATAGAGTTGTTCCTATTTTTCTTTTCTTCTGCTCAATCTCCTCACTGCTTCTGAATCCTATTCTCTAATTTAACAGGTACACATTATGCATCAGAGAGACCACAGAAGTAGGCAGTTGAAACACTAGCAGGGACAAATATACCCTCAGTGCCAGTCATAGGTGGTAGCTGGATTCAACTCTAATGCTATTGTTAAGCCAAACAATCTTGCTTTCTTCTGGGGTTCCAAGAATAGTTTAGAAATGAGATTCTAGTATGCGTGCGATTGTTCCTTTCTCCTTCCCCCTTTCCAAATTCTCTATTTATAACAACTCTTGATTTCACTCCAAATAAAAAATGTGCTTCTCAGCAACTAGATATGATCCCCGTTTGGGTTGGCTAGAGTAATTGCCTTTAGGCTCAGCTCTGCTCACACAAGAGGTAGAACTGTGGAGACCAAAAAGGATGAGTGGGAAGCTAGAGGTTGGCTTCAAGCTGGTTCTTAGCACTGCCAGCAGAGGAAGGGGTTGTCTCAAGAGTTAGTGACGTTCCCAGTCAGAAGAATTTCCTGATGCCTTATTTCCGTTTTGTACCTTAACATATATTATACTGAGATAGTAACAATAAGTTGCATGGAAAGGAACCCAAATAATCTCAATCTGACTTTTATAGCAACATTGTTAATTCAGAAACTAGGTGAAAAATAAAACTTCCAGTAGCTCCCTATTAATCAAAGAAAAGGATTTCCTTTGGATAAGCAAGGCATTCTGCCAGGAGTTACAGAGGATTTAAAGAATGTTATTAGAGGTTCCCTACTCTGAAATGGTCAAGAAAAGGCAAAAAAACACATGAGAAGCTAAGTGATAGCCCAGAGATGTTAAGCCCCTCAGTCTCGCAATAGCTGTACCACTGATTGATGACTGCACGGGTGGTTTAGTGATAATTACCATGGTCATTGGGAAGTGGGGAGCCATGGACTGGAAGCTTGTCAGGTCTGCCCCGGCTGCCATGGTAGAATACCACTGACTGGGTCGTTTAAACAACAGACATTGCTTCCCTTGCATTTCTAGAGAGTACAATTCCAAGATCTTGTTGTCTCCAAATCTGGACCCTTCTGGGGCCTTGCTCCTTGGCAGGTGGATGGCCACCAGGGTCCTGGGTCCTCCCATGACCTTTCCTCTGTGCATGTGCCCTTGGTGTCTCCCCAGTTATCCTGATCCCTTTTTACAAGAGCACCAGTTGGACTGCATGAGAGCCACCCTAAAAGCCTCAATTTTTTTTTTTTTTTGGATTGAACTCAGGCCCTTGTGCTTGCTGGGGAAGCGCTTATTCCACTGAGCCATCTCCGGCTCCATCAAGCCTCATTTTAATTGCATCACACTTTAAGAGTTCTATTTCCAAACTGAGTCACATTCTGAGGAACAAGGGGTTAGGGCTTTAACCTATAACTCAGGGGCAGACAATTCGGCCCATAAAAGATGGTTGCTTGGAGGAGGGTAAGAATAAGTTACAACCGTAAAGAAAGGGGTAGAGGGCTGGGGAGATAGCTCATGGGCATAAGGCCTGCCTGGCAAGCACAAAGTCTTGAGTTCAATCCCCATTACTGTGAATAAATAAAGAAAAGAGAAGAAAAGAAATGGGGTAGGGAGAAGCCGTATTAAAGGTGGGAGCAAGAAAAGGTGGGAAACATTCAACTTGCAGAGAGACAAGCCAGAGCATGCAGGGCTTCTGAGGCTGAGCAAGCCCTTGACACTGACTGACATTTTTCCTCTCCAGAAGACAAAAGCAAATCACTCCTGGCAAGAGGGGCCTTCAGTTCCTACTGGCAGAGTGACTGTAAGTCAACATGACCCTGTTCGCCTTTGTGGGGCCAAGAAGAAGCACAATCTGTAAAAGAATTCCTGGAGGGGAGAACAGGCACTAAGTCTGCACCCCCGGCCAACCTGTGAGCCATCTTTTGCCGTCAGTGCCGGCTTGACCATTGCTCACAGGCAGGCGAGTTGTGATTGATCACTGGATTTTCACAATTAACTTGAAGTTCTTGTCCTTATTTATTTATTTATCTATTCTGTATTTTAGGGAAGGATCTACAGGGGGTTCAGGGTCTCACTACTAGATTGGACTCATAGTGATTCTCCTGTCTACAGCCTCCCAAGAGCTGGGATTACAAGTGCGCGCCACCATGCCCAGTCTCAATTGCCATCTCAGTGCACCCCGGGGGTGGGGCTGGCACAGCAGGCCCGGGGATCAAACCCCCAACCCCTGCACCTGCTTGCAGGCACTTTAATCTGCTGAGCTATTTGGCTGGCCCATTTGTCCTTTTTTATTCTGAGTATTTTCTTCTTAGTTCATTTTCTGTTTTCTGAAACAGATTGCCTTTCACATTGCATTGTTGGTTTTCAGTAAATTTGGATGTAGTAGGAGTTCCATGGGCCAGAAATTCTTTTAAATGTTAAGGTGTCATTTATTGGAGACTGGATTTTTATTAGTTGTCTTAAAATTTACTATAATAACAACAAAACAAAATGAAAAACACTCCACAAAAACATGGCTCTTTTTCCTCTATTTGAGTGTAAATGAAATCCCTTCATCTAAGAAATTCTTCATTATGCAATTTGGGAACTATTCTAGAGCACAATATTCTTCCCTTGTAGAAGAATTTACTTTTGTGTGTATATTTCTTTTCAAACCAGGGATTGACACATCCATCAGTTCTATTCAGATTATGGAAATCCAGCACATAATTGATCGTCGGTATTGCAGTAGCAAACTCCATTGCGGGTAGGAAAGCCTCATGATCCTATGCTTGTTTCTGGAATTTACTCAGGGTACTGGGTTTGAGACTAGAATGAAAACTGAAGCTACATAGTGAAATCACCATGGGCTTACATGGCTCCTTGAGTGGAAACACCGTGATTACATGCATACAAGGGAATCATAAAGTAATCAGTATTAGCAAATGTCAGTGAACCATGGACCTAGTGATTCTGATCGTCTGATTTCGTGGTTAAGTCTGAAGCAAAGAAGCCTGGGAAGAGCTTTGTAGCTGACACTGAAGGCATATAACACAGGCCCAGAGCTGCTAATGAGTAGGATAGACAAGAGAAACATGGTCTCCAGCTGGGCTTGGTGGAGCGTGCCTGTAATCCCAGCACTCGGGAGGCTGAGGCAGGAGGATCAATGTGAATTCAAGGCCAGCCTGGGCTCCAAAATGACCTCAAGGCTAGTCTGCACTGCATAGCAAGACCTTGTCTCAAAAGACCAAAAAATGTAAGAAAGAGAAAGAAAGAAAGAAAGAAAGAAAGAAAGAAAGAAAGAAAGAAAGAAAGAAAGAAGAAAGAAAGACATGTTTTGAAGTTGAGTGAGCTAAAACTTGTGTATTTTCATAACAAGGGATATCATTATTTTCATTGATGAAAAATATGTCTTATCTTAGTTTTATCAGTAAGAAGAGGGAAAAATCTAAGTATTTCAACAGCTATGAGCAACCTCTATTTCCAGTGTGTGTCATATCATATATGTCATGTGTATATGTAGGCCTGTAATGATATGCTTAGAAGCCTAGAATGCAAGCTGCTTCAACAAACACAAGTGCAAGTTATAGGCATTAGAAAGGGAATTACTTGTGTTAATTTAATAAATATATGTGAGCTGTTTCCTAGGTTAAATGCAAGGCATGTATTTTGAACTGGTATAAGAGATCATACGGGTTTTCAGTTTTATAACATTTTCAATCTGATAGAATTTATGCTTGATAGTCTTGAATTATAAAAATAACTTGTATGGTGCTTTATGATGATATTAATTATCACATTTTCATAGAAGTCTTAGCTAAGAAGTAGTGCTGTTTATCTCCACTGTGTACTTTTCAGCAAGCTTGAAAATATTTGCCTAAGCTCACGTCAGATGAGTTTGCCTCTGATGCTACACAACGAAAAAGAACCAGGTGGCTCGGTTCCAGGGCTCAGACAAGGATGTCCCCTCACTCTGGATATGCACTTCTTCAGTGTAAGATGGGGAGCCTATCCAGTGAATTGAGGTGCTGAGAAGCATGTAAATATTCGGAGACCCATCATAGGAAACTAATTCCACCAATCTAAGTTTTCCAAACAAAGCATTCCTGATCCAAAGGCAGATCTTTCTATATATTTTTAATATGTGAATCCACCAAAATAGTACTATGCTCCACTTGATACAGGAGGAGCTCTCATTTTTCTCTACTTTTTGAGATGCAGTTGACATGCAATAGTTGTGCACACAGTGACTTTTGTATTCCTCTCCATTGTGAAAGGTCAGCTCTTCCAATTCCCTGTTTTCACTTGCACACTTTTAGCAATTTAGTTTAGTATTAATTAGAATCTAAAATGCTGTGATAGCTCAGTGGCCTAAGTACTTGCCTTGCAAGCACAAGGACCTGGGATCAATACCCTACACCACATTCTGTGCTGTCCCCACTCCAAGCTGGCCAGCAAAACTGTGCATGGTGGTGTATACCTATAATCCCAGTGCTGGGGAGGCTGAGATAGGAGAGTCATTATGAGTCCAAGCTGCGTAGTAAGACCCTGTACCAAATCAATCAATAAATAAAGATTTTAAAAAACACCAAAAAACAAGTAGGCTGTTTTTCTGGAAGTTTTCAGTACAGTATGAATCAATAGAATTTCCTTTTTTCAAAATATCTTTCTTGTTGTTGGTTTTGTTTTGGTACTGGAATCAAGCTCAAGGCCTTGCGCTTGCCAGGCAGGCATTTGTGCTGCTGAGCTATATTCCCAGCCCCTCAAGGAATCTTTCTTAAATTTGGTGTAAGGGCCAGGGAGATGGCTCAGTGGCATAAGCACCTGCCTGGCAAGCACAAGGTCCTGAGTTTATCTCTGGTACCAAAAAATATTAAAAATAAATAAAATAAACTTGAGGTATGGAGGTAGGGAAGAACTTGTAGATAATCCTGTTTTATAATTTTTTACATCACTAAATGGTAATCAAGGCTGTAATGATTGTGGCAGATTCAGGTGTTATAATTATATATTTCCTATCAATATTGTTTAAAAGGGGGTGATTTGTGGTAGAAAAACTGGTATTCATTTCAACCTTCCTTTTCAGGGGTATCATGAGTTTGTTGTCTTTGCTTTATTTGTCTTCTGAAATCTATACCTCTATTGGGGAAATTAGGTTATTTTCTGTGCATTTAATTTTGTGCATTTGGTTTAGAATTTAACTTTACATCATTTTTTCCATGCATTTTGAAAGTTATAAATCTTGTGATATATCTTATATTAAGATGTGAGTGAGACCACTCTGAAATTTGACAAATGTGCCTCTGAAAAACTATTAACTATACCAGGTTAATTATTTGCTATACTTACATAATATTTCACAGCTTACAGAACATATATTAAAAGGAAAAAAAAGCCATTCCTTCATGGTTTGATTTTCAGCTTCATTTTTTTCCACTCTTAGGGCTGGATATTATAATTACAATATTCCCATTAATAAGAACACACCCACAAAAGTCAAATTCTCTCTGGAAATCAAGTAAGTACATGGCTCTAAAAATGCTTCTTTTGTTTGTTGTTATTAATTAAACAGAAGGGCTGAATGTACAGTTCCACCTGAGAGTTAGGAGGCGGACAGCTCTCAGTCTGTGAGTGATGGACAGGAAATAAAAAATCTCAAACTAATCACACACTACCCAGCATACTAAAGGAAGAGAGGGAGGAAGGAAGGAAGGAA